TGTTGTCTGATTTGAGTTTTATGCTTTTGAGCCGTCCAAATCATGAAGGTAATCCACTGCTTACAATGTCATTCAAATTTACTAAACCAATAAAACATCTCAAAATATTTGTTTTATGTCATGGCAGCTTAGCTAGCATAGATTGTTGTGTTTGTACACCCGCATGATGCGTGCTTCTTTTATTTATAGATGAATATAAATGAATTAAAATATATTTTGCTTTGAGGTTATATCTGTATATGAACCTAAACACTTATTATGTATAAATAGTAACTTGGTATGTATGTGCTAAAATAAACAGTATATAAACACCGTGATATAAGGTCAATATATGGGAAGATCATGATGCCTGTTTCTCAAGAGTTCCATAGATGTAAGAAGACTCCAAAATGAGCATTCTGTGCAATAACCATAATTACAACATTAGAGCAGGTCTTTTCCACATAGGAAATGAGCTAAAGGTCTTGTCATATCTCCAGTTTAATTTTTTGTGCCAAGCTGTCACTCATAGCAGAAAGGCCCCCAAGATTCCTGCCAACTTTATAGAGCACTACCAGGCACCACTGTTGCTAAGCTGCCACAGCTGTCACAGCTAGAAACTATGTCCTCTATTTTACCCCAGGCAACGGATATGTCCCTACATGCTTACAAAATCCAACACCCTCCCATATCTTCATCGAGAGAAGCAGACTCTACATGGTGACAGAAAAACCTGATCATGTTACAGAGCACTATCCATCGATGATCTAGTAACTCCCCACCCTCAACCCAACCTGCAAACGGAAGATTTATGGAAAATACCATCCCACTCAAATTTTCACTTCCAAGTGTGCTATTCCCAGCAGTAGGGTTACAAAGTCTTTGACTCTACAAATAAGTAACAGAGGGAAAGCAATAGATTATCACCTCACTCAGAGAGCACCTTGTACTGAAGTGACAGAACTGAGGTATGTCAAACTGATGCAGCCTGTCTAATAGGCAGGATACTGTCAGGGGCCATCATTTGGTTGAGTAAATGTGAGACATGCTGTGGTTGAGTGGTTTTGGCTGCACTGATGCTTTGGTAATGCGGCTCTCTCCACAGATCCCAACTATGCAGAATATCTTTGCCTTATATTCAGTTTGGTTTTTGAAAATAAATTGCAGGGAGCCTCTGTGTGGTTAGGCTTATGATTTGCAAATACTGACAAGCATGCATTTATGCTTAAGCTAACTGAATCTTCTGCTTTTGGAAATGTTAATCTTCCAGATAGACCAAGGTGTTGTATTTTGAAGTGATCCAGAACAGACCAGCTGGAAAGCACCTGTGATCCATACAAGTTTTTACATGTCTCCAGCTGCTGGGTGTAGTGAAGCATCAGTCTAGCAGATTGTAATAAGTGCAAAATAAGCACTCTCTGGTGCATTTTAGTTTTCCCACGAGTCCAGATTGGAGAGAATACAGTTGGCAGTAAAAACTGATGTCTGTCTTACAAAGAGTATAATATTTTCTGCAACATGTGCTCTTACCTGTGCATTCATCTGTATGCCAGGTGACTGCTAATCTGTTTTTTATGGGAAAAATCAGTTTCAGATGATTATAGCTATTATACATGATTATAGCTAGCTTGCTATCTCATTTCTATAATACATATGCATTTCTTCTCTGGAATATTCTTTTGAAGTTCAAAAGCATCGTCAGTGCAGTAAAAATAGCAGCAAGAAAGTTTTTAACTTCTCTCTGTTTTCTTTATTCTTGCTCTGTGACTTTGTCACTTCTATGTCAGTTTTTCCACTGAGTTTAGTAGTCCTTTGTGTGAGTGTCAGGGGTGTTTTCACTCAACCATGGCCTTGGCTGCGAGTCAGAGGGAGTTTCTGTTTTCCACTGGACTGGAATGGTGGAAAGATGTCTCTCATCAGCCACTGGAGGGCAGTCACGTGCTGTATAACCACAATAGCAGAAGCAATTATATCAAGGCTCTTTGGCCATTTTTGAAAGCGCTTCTTGATCCCTTTGCTGAATCTGTGATAACATGACCAAATGGAACAATATAAGTTCAAATGTGATTGAAATACGGAAAGAGCATGTAAGAGCAGGCCATAGTAATACTCCCTTTGAAGTGTCTGCTTGAAACTCCCGTGGCCTCAGCTGAATTGACTGCAGAGGTCAAGGTCATAACAGAGGTGGGACATACACCAACCGACCTTTGACCTCAGGCCAAAGGTGTCACCAGATGCTCAAAAGTGATAAAACAAGTCTGCTGTGTTTCCAAAAGCAGCTTCAGGACCAAAAATGTATGTAAACACCTTTATGACTACAGTAAATGCTTTACAATCATATAGAAGAGAATTTTTTTTCCATTTATAAAAATTGTTTTATAAATGGAAAAAAATTCCATTTATTTTTTATATATACATATTGATGTGCTGTGATAAAATAACCACCAGAGGGCGGTAGTACAACACACTTAATATTTTGCGGCAGGCTACGCTGTCACACCCTCCACGGGTGAGTTTTGGTAACGTTTTTTTTTCTCCTCCTCATTTTTTTCCTTTTTATAATTTTTGTCTGAATTGCATATGTCGAAAGTCCAAGTTCAAACGTTTGCAGCTCACGTCGGCATGCAAATACAACAGCTAGGCTTCAGTTAGTGACTGTAGGGGTCTAATGTTTTATTCACAGCACATCACCCATCAAGGTTTTAATATCAACTTACAGTAACTCTACTGCCTGAGGCACACAAGAGTACACAGCTTCACTTTTTTCAATACACACCATAAGAGGCACTTGGGCTGTCTTTTTAAGCAACATTGATTTTTAATATTTCTTATGTTAATTGCTTCAGCTATAAATCATTAATTAGTCAGTTTTGTATGTACCATACAGCAGTTCTTGTCTGCACAGAGAAAAGACAAGTACACCATTAAATGAATCCCAATATTAAGGATACGTTACATGGGGGAATAAAAGTTTTCCTCATTACTATGCAGATGTACCAAAAAGGTATTTTAAGATCTAATCTGATCATCTACACTACACGAGCTCGCTATATACCATGCAAGCAGCAGGGCATAGTATATTAAAACAGATTTAATGAAGCTAGCACTTTATGAAAAGACATTTATTAGATCAGTAGAATACATCACCATCACCATCATCATGCCAAAAAGCAGCAAGAGCAGCACTTCATTTCCTCAGAGCCACTTTATGTGCACTACAGGTCCCCCACATTTTCTCTTTATAATCATGATCTTATCATATATGCACAATCACAACTGGTGTTTAACTTGATTTGTGAGCCTCACATTTCTTGAGGCTGGCCCCAGCTGTTTCTCATCTTCCTCTGTCTTGGCTTCCAAAAGCAGATGAAGCTCACAAACACACAATGTTATCTGGCATACTAATGTGCTGCAGAGTTGAACTGGTTACTGTTGTTCACTGGTCTGTGGCCATTTCAATCCATAGAGATTATGTTTAGTTCTTGTTTTATATCAAGTATACAATTTAGAGTCCTAACAGAAATAGTATGTACAGCTTTCAAATAATAACTACTGTCCACTAGATAAGCAAACAATTGAACTCTACAACATCAGACTGGTTATCAATGCCATATTAAAACAGCAACACTACAATAGCACTGACATGCACTAGCACATACTGTCATATTTCTCAAACATATACCATAGTATTTATATTTACATGGTGTTCACAGCTACATTCCAGGTTTGTGTTTGCGTGGATATCGTTTAACATCATATTCAGAAAAAAGACTGTCACTGCTCTGTGAAGAATATGGATATGAGTCAATAAAAGGGAAAAAATAAAAGTATAGATACTGGCTTATTGCTCAGTACATTTGATATGTAATGCATTTGACGCTGAACAAAACTTGTGATACTGTACTTCCAGTCCTACTGCAGACAATACAGTCATTTGATTAGATTGGTCCTGCAAATCAACTTAATCAAACCAAATATTAACCTCCAAGAAGCCTCCTGCACATGAAAAAAAGGAAACACACAATGTACAGAACTGTTTATCAATAAATACACAAGTAAAGGAGACAAAGTGTACACAAGGTATAATTAAATAAATATGGAAGAACTCAGAATGAGATTTGGCATACTGAAACGATAGAGTTGGCAGCCATCCATATACTGTGAACTGACACTTAACTTTAAATGTTGAGGCTAGAAGGAATCTGATAACTACAAAAAAAAAAACAAAAACACAACAGAACAAGTCTTTGTTTTGGAAGCTTATCTAGGGGTAGGACACAGACATGTACAAAACCTTGTTTACAACAGCTTTTGACAGATATTTTTTTAAAAATAAATTTCTACACGGGAAAGCAACATGAAGCAACTTGATAACTACAAGCATTCCCTTTCAGATGAGCAGATGTTACAGAATACAGTATTTACACATTTTAGTTACTTAATTCGTTTTTTTTTTTTTTTTTTTAATGAATGATAAATGCTCCTCTGGATTTCTTGCAGTGATCGGGCATCGTGTCCTTTTGATGAGCTTCATGTTGTTGTTGTTGTTGTTGATGATGAGTCTTTTAATTTTCAAGACTTTATTTGTATAATCTCAGCTACTTTTGTTTCGTATTTCTGCAGCAGAAATTATCGGGTGTTTATCTGCACTGACAGTTAAAAGCATACCATGTAACTGCCACTGTCAGATCCACCTCCACAAGAGTCTTTAAGGTGGATATGTCACTCTGCAGTATTCAGACCACATGAGCCAACTAAGATAACATGCTCCAATGGTCTTGCGTGATACAACATCCTGATTCCTGCAGTCCTCCATACTGGTGAACTGTAAACATGGCTTCCCACGCACAGAACACTCCAGCTGACACTTAGTAGTATCTACTTTTTGAGGTTTAACTTTTCTAGTTTCATTCATTGTGGAAGAAATCTGTGTCTCAGAACAGAGGATAAAAACAGGATGAGTTTACTGAATGAGAACTGAGTGTGGTTAAAAGTCTGTGCTAACAGTCAAGGTTTGTAAGTCACACACTGCGGGGAGCCCTCTCCAGTTCATGGGTCCTGCGGTTGCGACCCTTTTGCCTCTCTTGCAGGTGTTTCCACTTGGCTGCCAGCCCTTGAGCGTGCATGTGGTTGCGAGGAGTCATCGCAGTCTTCTGCTGCTGTTGCTGATGTAGTTGCACTTTCTGCACCAAGTGAGATTTTTGCCTCTTGTGCTTCCTCTCCCGTTTCCAAACTTGCTCGCAGAACTCGTCCACACTATTTAGAGTTGGGTGATTGACCAAAGAGAGGAAGTCCCTGTACCACAGCCTTTGATTGGGAGTTTCTCTAGAAGAGGAAAATTCATGGGCAGGGTCACTAGCTGCTTCTTCATCACGATGCAGAAGATCTTCCAGACGCTCCGTGTCAATGACCTCTAAGTTAACTTTTAGAACTGTCTGCATGAAGCCGTGTTCCACTGCCTGGCACAGATAAATGCCTGAATCCTTCTTGTTAAGTGCGCGAATCAGGAGGCCCTGCTCGGTGTGGATAAAGCGCTCCTCTGATTTAATCTAAAGAGTGAAAGAATCAGTGATGAGAGAGGCAGAGTGAAGGACAAAGAGATAAAGGCAGAAAAAATGCATTCAGAATCTGAAATCTATTATCATATTATACTGTCCAAAAAAATCAACTACAGTATTTGATTAAAAAAAAAAAAAGAGGTAGGCGACAGGTAAGTGATTCAAGGACAACCTGAGATAATAAGAAATATAACAGACACAGGTACTTCTACACCGATGCACTGCATGATTGCAATTATGCAATTAACATTCAACAATGGTCTAGTTTGGCAATATGTATTAAAATGCTGAGCAGGCCCAGTTGATTCTGAATTTGTATCAAGATATCAAGTAGATGTAGATACAATGTAAGTGATTTTGGAAAATAATTAGTTACTACGACACGGAGGGCTGGAGCCTCAGTCAGAAATTGCAGTCGATTTTTTGATAACCATAAAGCATTTCTGTAGGTGCAAAGTATTTGCAAAACGGTCAATACCTGCATCAGTTTTGGGGGTTTTCTTGGTTTGTTTTTTACAGTATAATAGGTTTTGGGGAAAATGCACATGGAGTATAGATTTGAGAAATCATCCGTGATGGAAAGGAATGAGTCCTTTACTATACAGTGACTATATGGTAAGTAGAGTTAACATCAAAACACCAAATACATTTTAAGAGAAGGATGTTCCATCCCTTTAACGTTCCAGTAGCCAAGGAATACCAGCACTGATTTGACAGCATAGGGTAGTTCAGTACTTTACTGAGTACTTAGATACTTAGTCTGGTTGTTTTATTGGGTTTTTTTTTTGTCACCTGTATTATGTGTTACCTAACGCAGTGTCTCTTTCTTTTCTTTATCTACTTTCTATCAAGACAAACTGTATCCGAGTCAAACTGATCCAAATGCAGTCTGAATCTATTTTTCTGAAATGAAACACATTATGTGTGCTGTGATGAAGCCCACCTCTTGTTTGTGGTCATCCGTTGTGGATTGATACTGCCAGTATGTCGTAGCTCTCTGGGACTTTGGACTACACTCCAGGAAAGTGCTGCTGTTCTCCACACCGTACACAGTTTTATCTTGGAGGGTTGACTGTCCATTTAACTCATCTGGGAAAGAAATGAATTTTGTTTAGGTATTGCAGGTTTTGGCTATGTGATGTATTTACAGACAATAAGTTAGAAATGTTAACTGAAGGTTATTCAGTTACTGCCATTCACAAAATGTTCTCCTTTCTCATCATGCTCAGTCACAAACAGCATATAAAGAGGCAGCAACAACAACAATGACATTTACTAGTCAATATCTGGGTTGTACATACAATTAAATATATACGCCACCATTTTTATTAAGGTTTTTTTTGTAGTGTCTGGTTAAACCTTGTCAACTTGGAAGCTTTTGCTAACATTTTCTTCTTTTGTCTATTTCAATTAAAGAAAGAGATGTATAATTAAGATAGTGAGTAAGTATAGTAGACCAGTCCTGCTTTTGGACTAAGTACAATTACAGTGCATTAGACTGAAGGGTTTGGCAACAGAAAGCAGACTTGGAGGATTCTTTAATGTGTTAATTACAAGCTTCACGTCAACTGACCTTAATCTTTAAACCACCAGAAAACACATAAAACACGTAGATACGCCACCACACACATTCAACTCTACTATCTTCTCCACCCTTTTTGATCAGGTCAGGAAAGGCCAGTGTCATTTAAATCTGAAATACTTTGATTATAATTTGTTTTAGCACATTCTTTTGGATATTGAAATGTTATTGTCTACATTACAACATAAAATCTTAATTGAATGATATAAAACATATACATATATCAAAAAAATACCATGGTGTTGCAGATCTGAGCACTGTGTGAGTGGGTCTCCATTCCTGATATCTTGCCTCCTTGTTCTCCTGCAAAAACAAACAGACCAAAATTTTTTTATACACACACATATATATATAAACATTTTCCCAGGTCAAAAGGAGCAACGATTGCATGGGTGTGGGTGTGCTAAAGAAAATAGGCGTTCAGTCACTTTGTATGTGTGTGTGTGTGTGTGTATCTGAATGAGATTTGCAGAGATTTGCAGCTGTACTGGTGGCCAACACAAACAAATAAGCATCATTCAGCTTAAAGCTTAGCAGGAAAGCTTTAATTATAGGGTGTGTGACACAGGAATTCAAATTAATAAATCTTTCTAGCCTGTCATCTTTGTCGGTTTCACATGGAAAAGCAATAGAGTTTCATGTTTATTGTCAAGCATTACCATGAGAATATTTCAACCAACAGCAATTTAAGCAACTATGGAGACACCAAAGCAAACCGAAAAATAATTCACCTTTGTTTCCTCATGTTCCAACTCAAAGTTTTTATATTGGTGCTTAAAAAATATTAGAGTCGAATATAACACTTAGAACAGGATGCAGCTAGCATTTAAATCAATAAGCCCCATGAAGCTATGAGTGGGCGGCTGCACAAAAAGCACAACCACACAAGCGCACATCAATCAGTCCACATCTACTACGGCATAACCAAACCACCACCGAACCTACCTCACCCCTGGTTCACCCAGGCAGCCTCCAGACATCACTGACACTGGCTCTCATTTGCAGTCAACACATGAGGCAGTTTATATTTCTAGTTTTCTGCTAGAAACAGGATCCTGTACCTTCAGGGGATTTTGGCAAATACGCAAAGCCTGCACTAAAAGTGCACCCTAGCTCTAGTGCTGAATTGCGGCTACGTCCTCAGTCTATTCATATAATCAAGTTTTACCTCAAAGAAGTATAGACCGTAGATTTAACCAACACAATTTATTAAACAATCATGATTAAAACCCTAACAGGACAACACTTGTGTTTTAAAAAAGCAAGTTGCTCTAATATAATATGCTGTATTTATGTACATGCATGACAATATATAAAATGTTGTATGTGAATTGTGCTGTTGGAGCATCATTTCCATTGGGGCGAAAGTCAAGCAGGCCATTTACCAATCGGAAGGTCGTGAATGGATTCCTTGGCCACTCCAGTCTGCCTATTGAAGCATCCTTGGACCAGATACTGAACCCCGAGTGCCCCTGATGCATACATGTGACTGTGTATGTAAATGTTAAACAAAGCTCTTAATTATGGAAAAGAGTGTGTGTGATTGGGTGGATGAGGCTAGTAAAAAGCACTTTGAGTTCCCAGTTAGAGTACAAAAGTGCTATATAAGTACCAGTCCAGGCCATTGTAGGCAAACCTAAACTTGCTCTGTGTCTTACAGATCTGATTAGCTGCAACGTAAAAGATCTCAAGCAGCTTCAACACACTGGCAACATGTTAAGTATGACTGTGAAATTCACTACCTCTTAGCCATGGGAAAGTATCTGGAGCATTCTGTGCCATCCCATGCACAATAAGGGTCTCTTGCCAAGCAGCATTCAGCACAAGCCTTCCCATAAACCTCACAACGATGCAGAGGCATCTGCGAAACCCCGATGTCTGAACCCAGGTAGAGTTGTTGCTGTAAACAGAAAAACATCAAATATTTGTTATTTTATGTCTTAGGAGCTTTAGTTTAGCTATTAAGTCTGGGTGGGCAGTGTGGGTTCATTAACTACTTTTGGCTCAGATGTTGTTTCTCAATAGAGCAAGAAAAGAAAGATAGATACATTTTTACTACAATTATCAATTATCCTGCTCATTTTGTCTCATCCTGCAATTTCAGTTGACAACCCAACTGTTGCGACAAACCCAACAATCAAGATGTTTCTGTGGCAACATGCTGTTGTTTAAATTGCGCAGACAAGCACGTCTTTGTCTGTCTTTTTACCCTGAAGCAAGATGTGTCACCAATAAGAGAACGCTTTCTCAGGACGGTTTTTCAGACACACTTATATAAACAAGAGTCACTTGTTTGTCATGAATGCCTAAAATATGACAGCTGTGTAAAGCTTAATCACAAGCAGTACTTTAGTCTCTACCTGTTTTGTAGATAGTTCCATAGCTGTAATGGCTGCAGGCTCCTGTAAAATATAATAAAACAAAAATAATTAAAAACAAACAACAGATCTTTCTGATTGAATATTCTCCAAAACGAAATAATATGGGTGATAGGAAAATAACCTACTCTGAAAACGGTCATTTCTTCTAATAGGACTTCCTCTAAGTCATGCCAGGAGCCTCTAGGGATGGACACCACTTTCAGAATTGTTCCTGCATCTAGGATATAATGAAAGTACACATTTTAGGTTAATACTGCTTTGTAGTTCCAAGCGATTCCTTACTACAGTATGATAATGTTTAGTTATAAATGATATAAACTTTATACTTTTTATTTGTTTTACCTGTGCCTATGAACATGACATCGTAAAGGCCATCTTCTGCCTCGACTTTGTCCACCACTATCTGGGTGAACTGGTAGTCCACATCTGTTTTGACTATGATTGGTCGATTATTAATGGGGTAGACAGGGTTGAACATGGCTGGATGGCTTCTGGCAAACTGCACAACTTCATCGGGGAGGTCCTTTGTGGTGTCAAATCCACCAAATGTCTTGCTTGGGCACTGTGGGGGCAAATAAAGGTAACAGTGTCTGTTACATTGTTGGTTGTAAAGAAGCAAGAACTCACAAGCTTCAGTACATCCTCTTGTAAAGAGGATATTGTACTCACTGTGCCGGGTCGTGGATAGGGAACACGTCCCTGGAAGGGCACCCACTGATAGCTGGGCCCATCTCTGTGGGCGTACGGACCCAGGAACACTCTTCTGATGTCTGTCATGCTGTACATGCACACAGCTGAACCTTTGAAGATGTTGCTAATAGAAGAAAGAACGAGACAGAAAAACACATGTAATTTTGAAGTTACAAATCGTGTATTAAATGGACATGAACTACTAAAAACCATTTAACTACTTCAAATGAGCCACAGTACCTGGAAGTAGTGAATACTGCATATACAACTGGGCTCTTGGGATCTTTTGTGCTCATGAGAAAAACATCCTCTGAAAGCCAAAAGAAAAGGCAAGACGTAAAAAGATATTGTGCAAATATTTCAAATTAAGGAAATTATATGTGGAGGTTTGGGAGCGATCACTTACGTAATTCATCAAAGTGTGTGTCTATTCCATTATTCCCGGGCACAGAGCAAATAAGTCGAGCTTTCAAGAAGGTTGTCCATTTATTTACCAGACTCCTGTGACCTCCCAGGTCATTCTGTTGGACATGGCAAAGATTTTATTGTCTATGCTTAGTGATACTGTCATTTTCACTTTTTTAACACTGTTTAAAGCATACTAAAGACACAATACTAGCATTCATGTTATTATTATTATTATTATCATATTCAGTCTCTCTAATTCCTATTTTTTATTCAGTGAATGCACAGTAAACTCTCTGTACAAAATAAACTACCAAAAAAATTCTATAACATATTAAACAAGTCTAATAAGCATCCATGTTTGGGTTTTTTTAAATATATTTCTATATTTATATGTATATTTTTATATATATTTTTGTGAATAATGCAATTCTAGATGCTGTACAAAAAGAGGACAGCACATATTGAACTGTTTGTTCCAGTGCACTTCTTAATAATATGCATCTCTGTGCCTTACAGGGTAGTGTTTGTCTTCATGAACATAGCACAAAAACACAGACGCACAAAGCTCTGGCTCATAAAAATGGATTTCACTTTGTGTTGATTTATGACAGTAAATTATAGTGTATCCAAGAAATGCATATGCTGGAGTTAATACCCCATTTTACATAATGGATGGCTTGTCTTGTGTTGAAGATAGCAGATTCTTGACATTCTAGATAATCAGGCAGTCATGAAGGAGGCATGATGTGCAGCTAAACAGGGGTTTGAGGCTGACATCGCTCACTGATCTGCAGTAAGCCTACTGAATTCCTGCTAAATGAATAAGAAATGGATTTAGGCTGTGAAATTTGATACGAGGCCAGTTCTTTAACATAACCATCCCCTGGAGCTAAAGGCCCAATAAGTGCCAGAGCTTGGCATTAGGATAACAGTGCTGCCATTGATGGTGTGTTTGCCTCTCAGGTTCTGGCGACATTTGACATTTCTCTCAGGTTTCTGTCTTCCGGGGCAGTTGTACCACGCAAAACAAAGCCCACTCTTCTCCAGGCTAAAAATAATCACAGATAACAGCTCCTGAAAGCTACCATTATGAAAGCCACTCAGACACCCGTCAAGTGTTTTTTCCAGATACAGGAGCTATTTCACATAATGCTGGTGTGAACGTGTGTGTGCCTTTGTCTCTCTGCTATTGTGTATATTGGGATTTTCCTTTGTAAAGGCCATCCTGCATGTCCTCTGTGTGCGTGCGTACTTTGCAGAGCTGTCCGACGCGAGCATGTGTGGCCTTTCCAGTATGCTCTCCGTCTATCGCATTTTCTCTGAAGAACAGGTAGATTTTGTCATCTTCTGGGTTGTCACTCTCTGAAATAAGATGAATGCCTAAAAACCTAGGATCTGCAAGCGACAAAGACACACACAAAGTCAATGTTAGTTTTTGTGTTTCTTAATCTGGAAAAAAACTGCTCTGTATCTAGTTTTAAACCAAGTGCTAGATACTGTGTGAGAGTTTAAAGATGCTGTGAAATAGCAGACATGTACTCAGGGACTTCCCTCTATAGAGCCTGAAAGGCAATAACAACACTTAATATTAAATTTCACAACTCCACTGGAGACAGGCCAGCTAAATGAATTATGTGCTTCTCGTTCTTTGTCTGGACTGCAATATTTTGAGCCATGAGCAGACAAGCTGCAGCACCTTAGCTGAAGCAGAGTATGATGAATTGGAATAATATTAACTGGTGAAAAACAGTAAGTAAAACCTACATATGAAAACTTGAGGTATGCCATTCCATCAACAGAGATGATAGTTCCAGTTATTATAGGTACTTCTTGTATATTTTTCTATATTTTTCTTATATATTAGAACTCAGGGTAGTTTAATTTGAAGTTGTTTTAAGGTCAAACCCCTTTTTTTATAGTACCAAACTGTGACAAATGTAAATCAGGTGATGATACATTGAGATCCATGTCCACGAGGAGATCAGTGACGAACTCTGATCATATCTATTGGAAGCTGAGCTCAAATCAAACAAAAACACAACTGAGATCAAAGAGTCAGCTTGCAAAATTAAAAACAAGGAAAGTACTGTATAATCAGAAGGGATTTTCCTCATCTCTCTCACCATTTAACCATCGGGAGTCATGCTGCTCTGTTCTGATTGGGTGATGCTTTCCAAGAGTGCGAAAGATGGCAAAGTCCCGCCCCATGAAATCAGCTGATGTTCCTGCATACAGTTCTCCATCTGAGATTAAGAGGAATAAACAGAGTTAGCTTAATAATGTCAGATGAGAAAACAATCTTTAGGGATTTTTCCCCAATGATGCAGGCATAAAAGTCTGAGGGATTGTACAGGGGCTTAGCAGTATAGATAAACTTGGAGTCCTGAGAGAAAACAGACAGTGACAGATGTGATGAACATCAGGAGTGTGAAATTGACATTAACACCGTAGGCAGGGCTAAGAAGGGAGGAGAGAGAAGGATGAATGAATAGGTCAGAGGAGGAGGGACAGGACAGAGGTGTGAGATAGGAGGAGTACATAATAAAGCTGGTGAGAAAGGAAAGAGAAAAGGGAGCAGAGATTAGGGGTGATGGGCTGGAAAATGGCCATCTGCTAGGTTAAACACTCAGATGTAACGCAATGTGACTGGCAATGATTGGAGTAAGAGAGAAAAGGCATGCTCACAAGTTCCCTTGCCAAAAAAATTAGATTCTATGCAAAAAAAAAAACCTCAATAAAGTGTCACTGACCCCACACCCACTACTTAAATGATGTATAGTCACGGTGAAAAGAAGTTTACAATCGTGCCAATGAGGGGTTCCCAGTGTTTAAATACAAAGCTGGTCCACTTATAATGAATGAGAAGAATGGCTGTGTTCTGTTATTTGCTTTTACTTTGCACCCTATATATCTGCTGCAATGACAGAGCAAACCAGTGGGTGTATCTTAACTTACATGTTTTTATATGACCTCACTCTAACACACACAGACAGGCAGCGCAGGGTATCCGCTCTTAAACTCACCAATTAGCATGGATGCAGTGAGCAGCTTGGGATCATAGGGACTCTTCCCACGGCCATTTTCCACGTGGGGCTCAAGTCTGAAAACACTGTCCTGTACACAGTTGAACAGAGAAGCACAGAATCTTCAGTATATCATCAAGTATCAGTTTTTGGAAAAAGTTTTGTCATGAAAAAATACACAGTAGTTTCCGTTTAAGTGAAAGTTTTCTGGGAAAGTCATTTTGCTGTCAGCATTTCACAACTTCCAGAACGGCAAAGCTAGAGAGACCACAGGATAGTATTTATGTTTTTTTTGTTTTTGTTTTTTAGTCCAAACTATTTTGGAAATATTGCGACACGATGCAAAAGTTGTTTTTGACAAATACTTGTGTGATAACGTTAGACACTGTAGATATAATATATAATATAAATGTTAGTCATTATGTAAAATAGGTGCAGTTTAAAATATTGAAGCCTTTTGAAATTTTTACAGAACGAGTATTAAAACAATAAATTTCATTTCTCTCTAACTCTGTGACACCAAAGGACGCCCTACAGAGGAATTTCATATTTTGTTCATGATTTCTACACACGAGATAAATGGATTTCCTGCATCTAATTATCTGTAAATAGCTGTTTAATGAATTGGAAATTCACATCAGTCAGACTCAGTGACATTTGGAGGAGAAAAGAGCACGCATTAGACTGATGCACTGGAAATTCGTCAGACTATGAAACCCTGCGTTTCCACCTCATTTTGCTGAATAAAAACCACTTTTTATGCACTTATATAATCATCTGTTAGAAAGACAATTCTCTAACCCTCATGGCCACTGAGAGCTTTAAATACTTATACTTGATATGTCAGGAAACTCAGCTTTTATATTCTAAGGGATTATGTGTTTGATAGAAATTGAAATTGGAAACTTCAATGGAGGTGTAGAGTGTGCCTGTACCTCTGATTTCTTGCCCACGTCCAGGTAGGAGCACACAGGGTGGAAGGCTCCTGTCCCACACACATAGACATGGGTCTGGTTGAATGGCTGCAGCACCTTCACAAAATTTGAGCATTCTCTCTGATGTAGCAAAGACAGAAAACAGTAAAATTATTATTTTTTAAAGTGTCATTCAGAACAGAGTGTCATTCAGAAAAATCCAGTGCCTGCATAAAAAAAAACTGGAGACAAAAACAGAGCAAAGCTTAAAGTAATCTGCTGTATTTCCCGAGAGAGTGACCCATAAACCCTACCAGTGTGCCGAGTAATAAATCTGGAAATAAAATTAAGAGCAAACTAAACACTGTCATCTGATTCTGGTTTTTTTTTTATTACATACTGAACTCAAAAGTAGAAGAAAACAGTGTGTTGTTGTGTTGCACAACTGTATATGAAATATTGCATTGCTCTGCAGCCATATGCCACATTTCCTCGTGTTCTTGCAGCACATGCCTGAGCGAGCCTGACCTCAAATAAAGCTGAATGTGTCACCACATTTTCACAACAGAAAATATATATATATTAAAAAAAAGAATACTGCCACAAATTATGCATGACTAAGTTATCTGGTTATACTAGGTCATGAGCAGGAAGCACCACAGTTTTTTCTATGACCCTGACTGACCTGACATTCGCTGTGATAAACTCGTAACACTTGTGCTTATTAACTTGTACTTGTCTGTCACACATATAATAATAATAATAATGGATTGCATTTATATAGCGCTTTTCGAAACCCTCAAAGCGCTTTACAATTCCACTATTCATTCACTCTCACATTCACACACTGATGGAGGCAAACTACAGTTGTAGCCACAGCTGCCCTGGGGCAGACTGAAGGCTGCCATATCGCGCCATCGGCCCCTCTGGCCAACACCAGTAGGCAGTAGGGTAAAGTGTCTTGCCCAAGGACACAACGACCGAGACTGTCCAAGCCGGGGCTCGAACCGGCAACCTTCCGGTTACAAGATGAACTGCCAACTCTTTGAGCCACGATCGCCCACGATCAGACCATATCAGACCTTCCTACTTCTCGTTGACTCTCCGTTTCATCTTGTTTGTTTTGATTGCATTAAATAAGATTAGTGAACAGACTCTTCATCTCCCATTAATTCTTACTCTCCTCCAACTATATAACACAGAGACCACCCCTCAGGATACCCTATATATCCACGACATAATGTTTATAGAATAAAATAACACAAAAGACTTTAGTACACTTCAAATCAGCCACGCAGAAGGGCTGATGATCACTGGTACAGCTGATACACATCCAGCATTTCCATGATTTCACATTCCAGCCTTTTGCTTCCGGGCCCATTTAGAGATAAAATTCATAACATAGTTTACTGGGAGCAGGGGCACAGAGTTTCACCACATCACAAAAGCTATTCTAAAACTGCACTTGGCCAGACATGTAAATGTAAGAGGTACAGAGTTAAAAAAAAAAAAAAAGGCCCTGAATGTAAATGCCAGAACAACTTGGATTTGTTTAAGACCAGCTTTAGTCGGGAGCAAAATTTTAGAAAGTATTTTCATCCAGAGAAATCTATAATCTAAAATTATGAAATGTTGTGTTTTATCCACAACTATGCTACTGTAGGGTTCAATATATGGATAATGTGATTTATTGTATTGTTTCTGTGGTGGTGTATGTGCTAGTTTAAAAAAAACAGTCCCACAGAAATTATATTAGTAATGTAATGGGATTGGGTGACACTAGTTTGTCTTATTTAAATTTGGCAAATTAGTAGTCTTTCAGCTTTAAAGGCCTCCCCTGAGGTTCGTCTGTCAAATATTAAAGCAGAAACAGAGAAAAAACAAAGGCCAATAACACTGGAACACTACTGTCTGTGATCCCTGAATATATGGAAGTAGTTATTAATAACAAAGAAATGTTATACCTAAAAGTACATTTTTATAGGCTAAAACAGATCATATCAGATGCTATACCAGATCTTTTAAGGAGGAGAGAAATTATTATGGTCTCAAATATGGCTCTGAGATTATTATCAGATCTATAGCGAGTCTTTGAGTTGTCCATATAACATATTGTCAACAAACTGCTATAAACAAACTGAAAAAAAGAAAAAAAAAATCTCATATAATCTATGATTAAAATGCCATATAAAAAGAGCCCATATAACCCCAGTGCAACTCCAAGGGTGATTTGCTTTGAGACCTGCAGAACTGCACATTTTTCATCGTATGAGAGAACAAAGACATTTGAAAAAATTAGTGGGAGTAGAGGGGCAAACCGCTGACACCCACTTAAAAGGTGGATGGTTTTAGCTCTTACCGAGAGATCTTTTCCTGCCCACTTGCATTCATCTCTTCTGGTGGAAGAAGCTGGCCAAGGGATCTGCAACATAAACACAGTTCCTGCACATGTTAGAAAAGAATTACCCCCACACAAAATCAATTTTACAGAGTCAGTCGAAAGAGGAACAGCTTGTGTGCATGGATGTGTATATATGAGAGTTGAAGGGGTCACATTGCGATTTGTTATCCACTTTGTTTCGGTTTATTCTATTATTCATCCAGGTGTGCAGAGAGCAGCTTACATGCCTGGCACAGTGTGTGATCGTGTGCAACAGCCCTGCTCTGAAATATTCATGAGGCACTTTTCGGTAGAAACAGAAAAGAGATTCCCAAGACACCTGCGCCCCTGCCTGGCACTCTGGATGGAGATGCACGGATACGAGCGAGGTAATAAGTCGGTCAGAAACAGCAAACACACATGGAGTCTGTCGCAGAATGCATGAAACCAGTCATGCAGTCTATAAATTATAGGCTTCAGCTACCTGTGCAAACTCTTTGCTGATATTGAGAAGATTAAAAGAGAAGATGTGGTCCTTGGCTCCAACTACTAGTCTTCCTTTCTCCTCATCCAACAGGAAGGTGTGGTAAGCCGAGCTGTTGGGTAGGCCTTCAAATGTCACAAGGTTGTTAGACTCCAACATGTCTGCAAAGAAAAAATGGAAAGAAAAGCAGGAATCAGCATAAAATATTCATCGAAATAAAGGGTTTGTGGATTTGTGTTGCATGAAAGTCAAATCCAATTCTCCAGATCAGTATATTTTTCTGAAATGCTATTAAATTTTCAGTATCTTTTTGCTTGACCACTTGTATGTCTTTCCATATCTTAAAATCTTGCTGCTAAATTGTAATGTTCCAGACATATACCTCTATTCCCCACAGCTACACTGAGCCAATTTAATCAAATGATATTGAGTTGTTCATGCTTGTATCACCTAAGACTGCTGTTTCCATTTTTATCAACCCCTTTTTTTTTCACTTTTTTATATGTTTTGATTTTTTACACAAATGTTATTGCTTCCCCTTTTCCTTCACAAATTGCTCTCATAACTAGAGACTATACAGCTTGGCCTAGCTGACAGATAGTTTAGAGCCTCTGCCAAGCCAAATTGAACTCGGCAGGTAAAGCCAAATCTGGGAGCCAATAATCAGACAGTCTGCGCTGAGAAGTGACCTTCACCAAAGCAGCCAAGCAGAACTTTGTACACTCACAGTGGAAAACTGTGGAGCATATAGTAATGTCATATTACTCTGCTAATATTTCATAAACCAAACTGCAAGACTACTCTAAACCACATAAACTATTAGCAGACTTTATTACAGGCTACAGCTCACGTTTTGGAACTTAATGCAATGGTCTGCCAAGTCTAGCAGCGACATTTGGTTTCCCAGCAGAAAGCCAGACTTGACACAAACACTGAGGATCTAATTACTGTAACGACCTCTAAAGGTGGCACTATGACTGTAGTATTGTAACACCTTTTGTGTAATCTGTGTAGATACACACACAAACACATGCACATATTAATTCTTTCTCCTTCTCACATTTTGTTCTCACCAACAAAGTCCAACCACACCATGGCCCCCCTCCCATTGACCACCTACACAAAAGGACAGAGAGTTATGGGAGCAGAGGAGAAATGGTGCCTTCCTCTCTCACTCTCTCTTGCTTTCTCATCCTCAGTGAGGCAAACAACAAAAAACTCTCATGAATGCTTTAGCAGGGAGAATGCCCCTTCTCTTAAGTGTGTCAGAACCCAAGAGAGTGAGAAGACACAAGCTAGAGGGAAACTGGTACGAGAAGAAAAACATCAAAGAATAGAGGGCATTACACTAAATGCTTTTAGGGTGTTTTTCTCACTCATAAATTCTAATTTTATTAAGATTTTTTAGGTTAAAACCTACATGGTCATGAATATCGTGCTATGGAATCTATACATTATTTACCATTCACCTACTCCAAGGCTACATGGGTTCATACAGTATGAAGTGTAAATTTAATGGAAACATTACCATATGTCTGAGATATTTGCCTAAATGCAAATTCAATCAATATTTTGTATCACAGAAGAAGCCAAATGGCTGACATTAAGGGGGTTTGGAGGGGTGGATTTATGGGTATACTCTTGATATGGGGGCAACAATATCTACATCACAAGAAAAATTGATTGGTTTGAAAAACTGACCGACACCCTTCCAGGCCGTACCCCAGTTGGGATAGGCTATCCACCAACATGTGCTGGATTATTAGAAGAAAATGAATGGACGAATGGTTTGAAGAATTTAAAATAGTGTTAAAAGGTGCTGAAAGACACCTGTGAAAAAGAAATGCTACAAACAGACAATCAAGTTGCCTGTTACATGAAGACTTACTGTACTTGTCCTTATGTGATTTTGGTTAATGTATCATGGCATCACACACACACACACACACACGGATGCGCACATGGACACACATGCAAATAACAGTACTCATTGGATGGTAATACAAATAGACTGACACCCTGTCATTATCACTGTCTCTGTAATTTAGTTTGTTTCCTGTTCCTTGATGCAAACTGTGAGAAATTTGGAAAAATCATAAATAATAATAAACTAATCTTTCACTCCACTCCCCACTCCACAGTCTTATTAAAAAACATCTAACCTTGATCTAACAGTCACATGAGTTTCCATTAAATTATAGAGAACAGATATTTTCTGGTGCATAACCGACTGAATCTAAACCCAAATGACACAAAGCTTTAATACAAACCACTGTGTTCAACTTACAGTCATAATTATTTGTTAAATAAATGCTTATTGTTGCAGTTTGTGAAGCATATCTTTGTAAATTATTTGTTTTCTGTTGCAAGATTGATCTAGTTGCATTTTATTGAACATATTTTGAAATATTAGACATTTATTTCCTAAACATAGTTGGAAAGAAGACTAAAGTCATAAAAAAGTACAGTCGAGCCCGCTCTGTAGCCATGGTGAGCAACCATCAGCTGATCAACTGTAAACTCTGCACTGCACAATAACATCTGCCTGCTACCTCTGACCCTTTTTTACCTGTACCGTGGACACATTCGTGTGGGGGATAACAAAGACAAAGTCAAACCAGAAGATGAAGACTTACTCTAGTTCTCAAAGTAAAAAAGCACAAAAGGATGTCTGTGTTATTTGTCATTAATAATTAGCAGTAGCAGTAGGAAACCTACTCTTCACTTTTTCCCTAAATCACATCACTGTTTGACAGCAAGGGGAATGGCATCACAATATCCACCCACCAGATACATACAGACACCCACACGCACACATCTTTGGTTTGTGGAAATTGTCTATGGGAGTCGTGTCCATAGCAACAGTCCATTCAACAGAGACTACAGCTAAGTTATTAAAAGCTAATCATCCAGAGACAGATACTCTGTGGGTATTGTGTGTGGATCTGTGTGTGTATGTGTGTTTATAGAGCATACTGTGCTGTGTGTTATTGGAAAGAAAAATGTGTTTACGAGCCACACCGGAGGCAGTAGCCTATACATGTCTGAACTGGTGTCCCCTCAGGTCAAATTTATGTATACATTAAACGGCACTTGTTTTTTTTGGGGTTTTTTTGTTTATTTTTGTTTTTTAATTCTTTCCTGTTTAGAGTTTGATACTGTGCTATACAAAAACAGGTTTGGATGCAGAACAATAGAACAGCAGAGAGAAAGAGACAGACACGCAAAAAGGAGAATGTGTGGCCTATAAGAGATTTTATGTTACAACTGATGGGTACATTAGCCCAAAAAATCCCCAAATTTCTTGTTTCTCCAGCAGTTTTCTACTTCCTCCTGCTCTCTCTTTTTCTTCCTTAACATTGCTTGGTAAAAGACAAATGTACTAACTATTCTCTTCTGGGTCAGGGACGGGGAGGGCAAAAGAATGAGTTAGGGACGGGGAGGGCAAAAGAATGAGTTAGGGAACTGGAAAGCAAGCAAGTAACAGACAAAGACACAAAGGGAGAGCGAGAGATGGAATAGATGCGAAAAATCAACAGTCCCATGTGAGACTGATAAAAATAAACTCTTTTACCCTACATTCTGTCCATCTTTCTCAACTGGAGGGCACGTAGAGTGTTATCTAAGTGCTTCCTAAGAAAAATACACTTCTTAATAATAACCCACACATGGCAGCATAACGGTTCAGTAGCTTCACTGATGTTCCTTACTCGCACGACTTGTTGTATTGTTGCACACTGTCAAATCCCAACATATCATATACACTCTCCAGGTGTATACAGTTACTGATTCACCTATGCCCAAGGGTAAAAAAAAACAAAGTTTCAGTCAAGAAATTTGCTCAGTGTCAAGCAGAAATGAAGGCAGACACCTAGTCTTGCTTTATTGTTGTTGGCTGAAAGAAAAATGGTTTTGAACTTTTTCTTTTTTTGGCAATGAAGTTATTTATCAAACTTGACAAGAGTGATTTCTTCAGAGCTGAACAAAATCAAATGTTGTAATATGTTGTTTTTGTAGTTAGAACTTTGCAAAATTAAATTTAAACATTGTTTTTAAACATGAAAACAAATGCAATTCTGTAGAATGTAGCGTATTGTAGAAAAAAGAACATAATTTTAGTTCGATCCCATATTTTCAAATCCGACCTGGGTCACTTTCGTATGTGGTACTGAATCCGATACATATCTGATGTTTTAGAAAGCGACTGCTGTTTGAATGGTCAGGTCGCATTAAATCTGTCTTTTACGTCACTGTCACAACACAGACGCCAATTATCAGCGCCGGAGAAGCACCCGAGAAGACATCGCGAACGCTTCCTGGCCTTCCAGTGAAATTGTTAGAAAGACAACGTCGGAGAAACGTGAACATTTTATTTGTACTGTATAATCTGAAGATTCTGACAGAAATCTGCAACTATCCTTTGAAGCACCTTTCCTCTCTAAAACAGCAATAATGATCATTATTAGGCCATGTAAATAACAAAATAACTTTATAACTTAAAGCAAAATTGGGAAACGTAAAGTCCGAAACAAGTCTTTATATTAAGGGTCATCAGTCAAACAATACTGTTTGGTCTTGGTCTAAACAGTGCTAGTTGTGTGTGACGTCTTCTTTTGCGCATGCGGGTCGCTTTGAGGGTTCACACTAGAGCGCATTTGCTGTCGCATTTTATTTGTAGTGTGAACAAGCAGACAAAAAAATCAGATTTGATCAAAAAATCGGAATTGAGCATTAAGACCTGCAGTGTGAACGTAGCCTAAATTACCTGCCCAACATGTCTTGAAGTTCTCCGGAGGCCTGAGAATGAACTAATCATTTGATTCAGGTGTGTTGACACAGGGTGAAATCTAAAACCTGCAGGACACCGGCACTTGAGGCCTGGAGTTGCTTACCCCTGGTCTAGCTGATAAATGATTTAGTTTTGGAACTGCATCCAGAAGTATTGATTAAACAGAATTAGCAGCCACTAAACTGATTCTGTGACTCCCTTCATATCACTGGAATACTAAAACCCAATCTCTTAGTCCATTTTGGTTTCTGAGACTTTCAACACATGCCCAGTAAACTGAACGAGGTCCCTTTGGCTTGTCTTGGTCACCCAATTTGAGTTTTCTGCATGTTTTCTGTATATACAATTTAGAAATAAAAGGACCCCAAATTAGTAAAACATCAGCAACTTCAGACCCTCCATGTTCATACTGATAATTCCACACCCTTTTAAGATGGTAGTTACTTTGTAGCTCTATATCTCACTATACACACATGTAAGTCAGTAGACACAGGAAATTTTGCAAGCAGACATCTTCCAAGTGAATATTTCAGATATAGATTAAGTTAACTGAAACAGCTATTGTTTTGAAAGCACTTGGAGAAACGAATTTAAAAAATTTTTTAATGAACACTGCAGAATAAATCATCCAAATCCAGTTAGAACAGAATACTGAGAACATTCAACTGCATGTATGGGATACCTTCCATGGCCATTCAAGGCCAGTCAGAGTTTATGTTGTACACACCCCAAGAAACCCAACTCCACTCCGAAGATTCTTAACATGCTCATGGATTAAAGGCCTTTAGGAGAACTTCTCCATTCTCCAACTCTGATTAAAAGTCACACCACAGTGAAAACAAGAAAAACACCATTTGAAAAAAAAAACAGATGAAGTATGAATGCTGAAGAGATATTTTGTGGTTAGTGAAACTAAATGGTTTCTAGTGTAGCATCATTTTTCAGTTCTTTGCTCCTTTTCTTTCTTGCTATCCAAAGCAGGACTTTGTTGTGCTCCTCTGAATGCATTTGCCTGTACGTGTGGCTGCAGATATGTGTATGTGCTTTTGTGCAAGCCGTTGGCTCAGCTAAAGAAAGGGGTGGACAGGTCGGGGGGGAAAAAAAGAGTACTTTTGGCAGAACACCCACATTCTATAAAACTCAAGTACCTTCTTTTTTTCTTTCCCTGGACAGTAAACAACATGTGCTCTGCTGCTTGTGACCCATAAACTTGAGAGCCATATGTTTAATCCCTAAAGGGCCCATTTACCCAGAGGGTGTGAATCGATCTTACATCAATTCATGCCAAAGTATAACATATGTAAAACATTCATGGTGCTTTATGGTGTTGCCGGCACTGTAGGTCCATGGCCTTCTACTCCTACTTCTTCATCATCAACTAGTCACTTAGTTGTTGATACAGTTGGACCTCAGCTCATGTTTAGGTAGCCATGGGGTACCACTGTTATCTTTCCCCTGCTCCATTGCCCTTGTGCCCCTGAACCCTTGCTTTTAAAGATCTGTTGGAAGTTTCAGCAATGTGTATGTGTGTGTGTCTGTGTGTGTTGGGGTGGGGGTGGGTGGTAGGAATTGGTAGGTGTGTCTCAGAGTAATTAACTTTGTCCACTGGGGGGTTCATACTGTGGTGGGCCAAGCTGCTGTATAGCTACACCATTCCAAGATAAAACTTTCATTCTACATTCAAATGAATGAAGTCTGCAAGAAATCCCAAAACATGTGCCAATGTGAAACCTGCATAATCAGATGCATCTAATTTGACCATAAACAGATTCACCCCTTGTTCCCGGAGACCTGTAGGGGTCAGGTTTTCTTCAACTCACAGAGCAGTATCTCACTGATCTGACACTGCTTCCTCAGGACTGGACAACTTCTCAGACTGTTTAGGCAGGTATTGCTCTTTAATCACCACAGTGAACAATCTGATTTCCTCCACGAGTAAATGTACTTCACCTACACACGGGTAATACATAATTTATATTATGGCATACATTATTCATAATTCAATAATCCCATGTCACTTGCCTAATGGGACCTACAGTGGATAATGTTTAAATTTTTTCTGCAGTATTACAGGAGCAATGTTTCAACCACAGTGCAAGCATGAAAATTATACCTGCTCACTCTCCTATTATTAAGCCCATGCTAAGCACTAAATACAAAAGATAAAGCACTGACTCCTCATATGGGAGAGGTGCAAAATCCAAATTAGTACTAATAGAAATAATAATTATAGAGGTGACTGCAAAAAACAAGCTTGCCAGACTGCTACCTGAGGATCTAACTTGAAATAGAGATATCACCACATGGGCGTGTTACACCAGTCTGACAGCATGCGGTTTTAAATGACTGATACCCTCACAGGTATCATTTGCTATCTACAGATGGTCATGCATTTATGTGCGCAAGTGAGTGAGCATCGTTGCATGTGTGTGCATGTGTGAGTGTTTATGTATGTGCATACTTGTGTGTATAATTATGGATCCCCCAGTGCTGAGCGAGAAACATTTCTCTTTGGGAGAGCCATCTGCTGAAACAGACCTGCACCATTCATCCTTAGTATAATTGCCATGCAGGAGAGAATTGAGTGGGAAAATGACATTTAGGAAAAAAAGGAAGCAAGAGAAGGATAGATGAAGCTAGATGAATCAGTTGATCAAAACAAGGACAGAGAGGCAGAAAGAGAGAATGCATTCTCTAATAACCAGTTCATTTATGCATGTGCATTAGACTTGAGGACTTTTACTAACAAGCTGGCAAAGTTACCTTACCTAATTTTATCAAACTGTTTTCTTCGCTGGATTTATATTATATAATATTTTTTATACTCATTCCTATTTGTTAGTCTCAGCTGATTACTGAGTCAAGACAGAAATATTTTTAATGGTGCAAAGGCTTTCCATGACAACACCAGAGTTTCCTGGCTACAGGTAAATTAAACATAATTGGATATAAAAAACTCCAAATAGTATGAATGCAGGTCTGTAAAAAGACTGAAACCGTATAAAACTAATATGCACAACCCTCTTAAAGGCCAGAGCCTAAATCTGATAAGTCATAAAGTTTACAACCTTGTAAAGAATTTACACTTAATTGTACTTGTTGTTTAATTTATATATATAGCATTTTTAGAAGTAATCATAACTAAAGCCTTATACAGACATCTAGGGACTCACAGTTACTGAAACTTTCTATAGACACTGCCTTTTTTCAGTCACTTGACCAGCACACTATACGTGCTGAAATGATTTGAACCTGCGTGAGAAGGAGGTAAGAGTCTAAGACATAAGAGCTACCTCAAAATATTTAAGGGCAAATCACTTAAAATAATAACATTTGAAGACAATAAAAACTCACAAACGCACCTTTATAGGAGAGTTTTAGCCGGGGGACGTTGTTCTTGGTCTGCTGGGCTCCGCTGCCCCCCGTATTGAGCAAAGCCACCCCACACAGCAGCATAATGCTGCCCCAGAAAAAGCCCATGATCCTGGGGCTATAGGGGCCAGAGAGTCCTTTAAATACCAAACTCCAGTGCCGAAAGTCTCAGATCTGGTTTAAGTTCTGGTAAGAAGAAGAAAAAAATTGTTTTCCAATAATTGTGAAAAAATGCTGACGGGTCAGTCCAGGCTGGTTCACGGCAGGTCTCGTTCACTGCCAGATCCAAAACCCTTTCCTATTCCAGGGGTCAAAAGACAAAATTAGAGTCCAGCTCAGAACCTGCAAAGCAGAGTTGGGGGTTATGGGTCAGTGTTACTGCAAGTGAGCTTCCCACACCAATAAGTCAATGCTAAAGTTAACCAAAGTAGGCACACACTAAATGCTAGGAAGAGCAAGCAGGTATGACTGCCATACTTTTCTGCCCTGGTACCTGACCAGTATGTAACCCAGTGAAAACAGCCATCTGCATTATCTACCTCTACAGCTACCTTTAGCTAAAAAAAAGAAAAACAGTTCCACTTTGTTTCAACTGTTGCCGGATAATCATAATCTTTAGTGGCTTTCTCTTTTCCTGTCCACTGTGATCCTGTCTGCCACTCTACCTAAGACTCCTCTAAACTAGTTCAGCCCCACTCAGCGCAGCTCTGCCCTGTCCCCACAGCACAAGGCACACAGTGCAACTGAGAACAGCTGAGGCAGACAGCGCAGAGTGAGCGAGAGACAGCGAGAGAGGGAGTGAGAGAGAGAGAGAGAAGGAGAGAGATTGAGAAATAAGGGGAGTGTGGTGTAGGCGGGAGAAAGTGAAGAAAGCATGAGAGAAATGAAAACTGTGAGTTGGATAGTAGAGAAAAGGTTAGGGCAAGCCAAGAGGTTATGAAGAGTGAGAAAATAGCAAAACACAGCTGATTATTACAGTGCAGTGTTTTGAGCAAACTGCTTTGTGAGAATTTTTTGAAATGATTTTTTATGCTTTGTTCATTTTTAACTGCTGTATTTTTATACAGATAAGACTTTTAGATTAGAATAATATGGCATCTTCAACACTTTACAAAAATAAGCCCTGGTTCAATACAGGTGAGCGCAAAACTGTTTGTAGATCTATTACCCTTTTGGTCAAACATGGCGTTATTTATGCCCAAACTTACATTTCAGGTAATCCCTACCTCTTTTTATTTTACTTATATTGTCTTTTGCAAAAAGTCTGTACTTATATTTTTACAGTTATCACTCATGGATGTATGAATAAGTTGGGTTTTTTTGTTTGTTTCTTTTGTATAAATCAACCAAACCCTCTTGCATTGTTCTTGCTATCTTTTTCTGAGAATCTACAACATGTTAAAAAGCATTCGTTCATTTTACATACTTATATCCTCTTTACTTTGTGACTTATATCACAGAAGAAAACCACCTACATCATTTAACTGGATCATTTGTAATATGTAACATCATCAGCTTCAATTGAATCAAATGATTCAGTCTGATGATGAAGATCTGATTAGTGATGAAGATGTGATTGCAGTGTTTCCGTGTTTAGATAAAAACAATATCTATGAACAAACAGATACAGATACCTCGTATCACGTCAGTCTGATTGGTGATGTCACAACTCAGGTTTTACAAATAAAGAAGAGAAACCAAGAATCCAAATAAACATCAAGCTAAACTTTTTGACTTTCTTATAGAATAAAAAATGGAAAAAATACAAACCTTTGAAAAACCTATTGGTCCTAGGATGGAATCCAGGGATTTTACCGAGGTGGTAATAACCTTTGACACTATGAGCAAACATAGCGTCGCGGTCTTGGTGAAAAGCTGTTTATGTCCCCCAGAAACAATGCCTAATGTACATAAACACACTTTTCAAAAGAAAAATTTAAGGGCCAAATTAGCCATCTAAAATAGTTACTTCATTTATTGGTCACTCCATCAGAGACTGAAGGGGAGTTCCCTGTCTTTTCTTTCAAACCATCCCAAATGAGATGTCACTCTCAGTCTAAACAGCAGGCCCTCAGTGAGCTGATTCCTTCTCGTGGTGAATGATAATGACTTTGGTGGCAATAGTGTGGTTAAGACCTTTAACAGGCTGTATCCATCTGGATAAAGAGCCATCAGACAGTGGGAGGAGAGCTGAACTAATCCTGTAGTGAAGGGATGGGCCTCACGGTTATGCTAATGTAAGCTGTTCTCCAGTGAGAACACTAGAATCTATGGGGAACAAGTGTCACGCCAAAGCCTGTGCTTTGCAAACAGACTGGATTAGAAGCTGGAAGAGGCAGATTCTCTCTCTCTCTCTCTCTCTCTCTCTTTTCTACTGGGATTGGCAGTGTTGGTGTAGTAGTTTAATATTCCAAGGATCATGCAACCCAATCTGCCATAACTAAGACCAGAAAGAGCGATGGTTGGGGGTGAAATAGGAAGGAATGGCCCTCTTAGGAATTTTACTCCAACTTTAGGGGGCCATACTTCTCGCATGTTGATAAGATGAAGATTTTAGTGCATTTGATGGTTAATTCTTAAAAGAGTAACAGTAACTTTCTCATACAGTGTGCGTCATCAGCAGTGCTTTTTTTTAAAGCTCAAAGTTACTGAATATTTTTAAAATTCAGATGAATTCTCCCCAAAAATGGTCACGAAGACTTGAGAATTCCATGTTAAAGCTTCATCTTCCTCATCTTTTTCAATTCTCATACTTTCCACACATGTTCCCAAACATTAGCCCGTACCCTTGTCATTTCTTTATCTGTGTTGAAATGTTATTGAGCTTTATAGACTTGTTAAAAATCTAGCTATGATTGAAAAGTGCACTGAATAACACGGGTCCAATAAAAAGAGAGACTCGTCCTTGATAGGTTTATACACCCCAAAGGAGTTGTGTGCTTCAAGGAGAATGAGCCTGTTCTGAAGCACCACTTGTATTCAGTAAGACAGATGCTTTAGAGTACCCTGACCATCAGTTCATCAACTCATACGTGTGGGCACAGCAGGGGAGGGGGGACTTCTTTAACTTGTGGAGGGGCACTGGTATGTTTAGAATTGTGGCTGATGAGGGCTGTGAAGTGGGGACAGCAGTTGAAGAGATCTGTCAATACCCCTTTGAAAGCTGGACCCCCCCCAATCAGAATTCACTTCACCCTCTTCAAATAATGGACTTCCCTTCTCACCACACACCCCCGCCTACGCAGTACACCCCTAATCGTCACAAATTTCCACTTACAAAATGCTTTCCTCTTCGGCCTCTCTAGGCATGAACTCCCCCAGTCTCCCCAAGTGGACAAGAATATACATTAAGCATGAATGGACTCAGGAAAGAAGGGATGGGAAGAGTTTTTGATGGGTGTATAGGTGCAGTAGGGTGGAAGACATGAAAGCAAACCCACAAAAATCTCTTTCAATCACTTCCTTCATTCCTGTCTATTCATCGTTTCAGACCTCCACCCACTCTTCGAACCTGAGAGTGCATGATCCTAAAAGAAAGGATTTGGCTCAGCAAAATAAACCACAAGTAAAAGGCAACCACATCTGCCTCCCACCTATCCTTTAACAACCCTTTAACAACAACAGCCTGCACCCCTAGATCCATGCATCCAGCTTTATTCGAGACTCCCTTCACACCAGATGCAAGTAAGCAATATAAATGGGCAGCCTGCAAGGCATACATGAGATCCAGAATAAAGGAAGAAATCTTTTTAAAAGTATTTTTGCCAGTTAAAGTATTGATTTAGAAAAGGATTCCTTTGCCATTTGTTTTTCACATCTTTAAATTTTAACATAAGAAAATTAAAATGTATTTAATGACTGTCTTCTCGTGTTCCAAATGAAATGAGACAATGCAGTGATGCCGTTTACTCCACTGACATAGATATTGGGTTGCTGCCTTTTTCATGCATGATGTATTGAAACTGCGGTTATTGCAGACATAATACACACATACACAAACATGCAATGATGGAAGCCAGCTGTGTGGAGCTGCAGGTCTTGGTATGAAAGAAAAAGCTGATCCCAGTGCTCTGGAAGCTACTGGAATCAGTTCAGGTCCTCCCCAAAATTACCCGAGGGGCATCTTGGAGACAAGAAAAACACATACAGATCGAACCTCGGCTGAACACTAGTAGTATTATTTAAAACACAAGTTTTGACAGAGTACAATTGTACTTCAGTATATTTGTCACCACAAAAAGTTTTAAACATTTTCTTCTCTTTGACTCTTCCATGTAAGCAGACTCATGAGAGCATGGCATAAATAGACAGCGTACGCAATACACTATTTATGATGGAATAAACCACATGCTGTTGGTGACTGACTCTTTCTTAATAAAATATGGATGAAAAAATAAAGCAACAAAAACTCTGAGCTGGTGCTACTGTATGAATAAGTGACTGAAACGGTTTTGTCTTCATCCCTGTGATGACCACACCCTTTTTGTGGTGGCAGAGGCTCTACTATGTCACTTGTAGGGGATAAACAGCATTTGTGAGTGCAGCAATATTAAAAAAAAAAGATTTATGCATTTAAAAACTTGACAACAAATAACAAGAATTTAATCTCTAATTCATCTGAAACATTCAACATTCAGAAAAATATGACGAAAACACTAGAATGAAAACTTAAAATGTCTGTTTGGTTGTTTTTTAGTTAACAACAACATGAATTTATCATCATCCATCAATATTTCAGCCTTTAGGCCTACCTGCATGTCCACAGGGACAAAAACAAACAAACAAAAAAACCCACAGTCTTTTTCTAAATCACATGCACATACCCACCAATAATACACACATGGACTGGGGGCAGGGGCAGATCCAGAAAACTGGTTGCAGCTTTCAGATTGCACGCCTAAAAGATAAAGTCACATTATTAAATTCTATTCATACAAAACTTCTGAAAGAAAGACAACGCTCTGTGAAAGAGAACTTTGAAATATACATTTCCACAATTAAATATGTTGCAATCAAAAAGACAGTGGTTGTATTTACGCTCAGAAGCAGTGCTTCCTGGATTCAGATAGTTTTTATTTGAGGAGTTTTTTCGTTCATGTGTCTTGATTGGGTTGTTCGTCAAAAGCTGATGAAACTTACTGTTATTATTTGAGCTTCTTTAACCTCCACTTTGACTGCTGGGTCAAATTGACCCAAACAGTATCTGTGTAATATAAACATGCAGAGGGGGTTGCACATATGTGAAAGGAACTGCTTTTATTTTATTTATATAGCACCTTTCAAGACAGAATCACAAAGTGCTGCACATAAGATTACAAGTCATAAAAAGATTTAAAAAGAGAAAATAAAACAGGCATAAAATTAACCAAAAGCAGTTTTAAAAAGGTGAGTTTTGAGTTGTTTTTTAAAAACAGCTACTGAGTCCACAGTTCTTAATGCTTGGGGGAGAGAGTTCCACAGTGTCGGGGCCACAGTGGCAAAAGCTGTCACCCTTAGTCCTCCACTTAGTATTTTTTATAGCAAGTAAGCCCTGATCAGATGACCTCAAAGACCTGCTAGGGACATAGGGCTGTAGCAGATCAAAGATGTAGGCTGGTGCCAGTCCGTGCACAGCTCTAATTACCCTTATTAAGCCAACCAGAAGAAGTTTGATACTGAAAAAATACTTTGAAATATTTTTTTTTAGATTTTTAACATTTAAAATGGGTCAATTTGACCCGCATCATAACAGGAGGCTTAGTCTTGATTTTTTTAGTCAGCGGGTCAGTTTGACCCACACTGTAAAAAAAAAAACTGTAGATTTTACGGTAAAACGCTGGCAGCTGTGGTTGCCAGAAATCTACCGTAAAATTACGGGTGAAACATTTTCTTCTTTAACGGTAAGAAGGTATTGTTATTGTTGATTTTACGGTTAAAAATAGTGCTAGGGTCAATATTTTACTGTAGAAGAAAATGTTTTAACTTGAAGAAAAAATAATATTTTTCCCTAGAATTAACATGAAAATAACATATAAAATAAAGTTTGTGCCAGAAAACACAACATTTTTTCCCTGTAAAATTAACTATCAAAAAATAATAAAATACAATTTTATTCTGTAACCGTTTTTAGACTAGAGTGCTTTTAAGTGTTCTACTCTGTAAGCTTAATACACAAAACCATGATTTTATTCAAATTACTAAATGTAACACAAAAATGTCCACCTTAAATTTCCAAAAAAGTATTTTATTTAACATCTTTTATGTTTTGAACATCAAACATTTACATTTTTACTCAACAAATCACAAATAGTTACTAGTTATCTCCATGACAGTAACAGTGAGAAATCACAGAATATTTACAAGTTCTGTTCAAACTGTGCAAAACCAGTGCTGTAAGTTGAGCACACATTATACTTCACATTACCTTTAGCAGACAATTCAGACACCTTTAAGTGTTTTGGTGCTGTTCTCACTACATAAATGTCAGTACACATAGAATCTTGACTTTTCAAATTATCCAAATACAAATATAGAGAATT